CTACCACTTAAGGAAGGCCTTCTGGCCCTTTCAATTTTTCCATATATCACTGGTACTTGCTATTTTCACCTTTCCCATTCATCTTTTTCCCTCAAAACTTGCTGAATATTTAGAGGAACAGTAGGTCAATTTGTAAGGGAATGCCAGAAAGTATGGTTAGAATATGAGTGGTGTAGGAAACCATTCAAGATTATTTGGGCCTGGAGATTAGTCATTGAAGGGAAGATTTGCAGGTACCATGTACCACCAGAAAGACAAATAAGTATGTCCTAGATCAAATCAAGTCTAAACTCTCTCTAGAAAGAAAAATGATGAACCTGAAACTGCTGTACTTCGTATACATCATGAGAAGACTTGACTTGCTGGAAAAGACAATGCTAGGAAGAATTGGAGGCAGCAGAAAAAGAAGACCAAATTTGAGGTGGATTGACTCAATAAAGGAAGTAATGGCCTCAAATTTGCAAGAAATAAGGAGGTCTGTTAATAATAGGAAATGTGGAGGCCACTCATTCATAGCATAGGTCAGAAGTGACATAACAACAGTAAGAGCAAGAGCAGGAACAGCAGAGATGAGGAGATATCGTCCATCTCTGTATAATTTTTCTTGAAGAGAGTTTTGAAAGGGCCTAGAGTGGTCGCGGAGACTAGATAGGCGGGGTATAAATGGAATAAATAAGTTAATTAATTAATTAATTAATTAATTAACTGAGGAATTCTGGCTGAAAGTATAAGGTAATCATTTTATTGTATGTTGCAGTTTACTGTATGTTGCAGGAGAGGAAGAGGAAGGTTCAGTTTTCTGAAAGATAAAAAATGGGGAAGAAAATAATAATTTTAAAACATACAGCATTCATCTTAGACAAGATCTCAAAAACCCAGTTACTTGGTTGTCAGTTCTTTGATAAATATGAGTAAATAAGCCTGATGCATGCTATTTTTTTCCAATTGGAAATCCTGATAATAATTGATCAAAATGCGGGCTGTCTAGGATTCATTCATTTAGTTGACATTAAAGTATTGACTACTCCAGCTCTCTGACAATGGACAGATCATCCATTGTCATAGATTGAATGTGATAATTTGATACAGTAGTACAAACTTGCACAGACAAATTACGACAATGCTGTCATAACTTGCCACTCCTGATCTTAATCTTGTTTTTAATAGCAATAATATATTTCTGTGTCTTGTATTTTTGATTGACAAAGATACATCCAGTGTGATCGGCAGTGTTGTTTTTATAATATTTACAGGGGCAGGAGGGCAATGCTGTAACAAATAGGATCTCTTCCTGTAATTTGTTTCTAGAAGCAATCAGCCTTACTTATTAGTATATGATTTTCATACCCTTTAAGGATCCCAAGCAAAAATGGTTTGCAAGTCAGATGTGGAAACAAGCATTTTGTCTTCCCCTTTGAGAAAGCATAAACTGTTTCTGTTTTTAATTTAGGAAAAAAAAATCAAAGATGACAGTATGGAGGTCTGAAGTAGAAAGGAAGAACCTATACTGTATTAGAACCCAAGGAAATTGATCAGCAATAGATAACCCTTTGTCTTACAATGCATTGTTCACTTGTGGAACTCATTGCCACAATATTAAGTGCTGATTACTGGCTTAGATCAGGGTGCAAACAGAATAGTGATTAATTAATTAATTAATTTTGCATCATTTGTAGGCCATCTTTCTCCTGGTAAGGGGACCCAAATAGGCTCACAATGTTAAGACAAGTAACCCTAAAATTGCGATAAATTAAAAAACAAACTGCAGTAGTAATTATAAAGCCATTACATAACTGGAAACACTTAAAACTCTAAAAGCAGACTTAGATGAACAAAAATAGCATCCCAAGATTCAGGCATAGTTGGTTAAAACCTGCCTACAGAGGTGGGGCTTCAACTGTTGGGGGAAGGATAATAGGGAGGGGTGTAACCTAACCTCCAAAGAGAGAGCATTTCATAACCTAGGAATAGAACAGATTGATTGATTGATTGATTGATTGATTGATTGATTGATTGATTGATTGATTGATTGATTGAGAAAACAAGAGAAGGGAAACATAGTTGTAAATGAAACTCATATTCCCCTGGAGTAAGGATTCTTCTGTCTTTGGAGAAGATGCATGTTATCTGGAATTTGTTTTAGATGATTTTAAGGGGAAAGGCAAATTATTAGATCATGCGTCTAGGAGCAACTATTAAGCATAACAATTAAATTGATGCATTTTCATTTCCCTATTCAGAGCTATTATGCCTCTGAATACCAGTTGCTGAGAGACAGCAGCAGTAGAGGGCTGGGAATTTGTCTTCTGCTTGCAGTTCAAAAGGGCATGGTACTTGGAATATAGGAACTTAAAATGCAGACTCTTTCCATTCAGAAAATCTGGTTTCCTCCTGGGACCCAGCAACCTTCTTTAAGTAGCTCCAACTTATAAAGGGAAGTTCATCCTCCCACTGCCAAAGCCGTTTCTGCAAGCATACCCAGTTTGAATAAAACCCTTGCATGGGGAGGGAGGGCTTGGACAGAGCCACTATGGAAGGTACATAGGTTTGGAATCCTTAGGACCCAACAGAGGGTGCACTGATACGTTACCTCTGGAACTGAAGAAGCAGAGAGCAGCAGCAGGAGGAGACGGTGAGAATGCTGCAGAAAGAGGGCTTTGCTCGAGAGCCTTCCTGGACATTGAGCTGGCACTGGGCTTACATGTCACTAATTGTAGGCCTCCTGGAAGAAACAGGTTTGTGGTCTAGAGAGCTATTCCGTATGTATCAGCAGAACTGTTCTTATGCCTTGAGCTTTGCTTCTGCCTTAGTTCTGAGCATTACATAGAATTCTTGTAAGAACTGCTTTGTGTTTTGGAATAGTTAGTGTTTTGGAATAGAGCCAGTGCGCTGAATTCCCGTTTCCGCACAGGACAGTTACTCTTCTTGAGCCTCTAGACCAGTTGACACACCTGAAGATGCAAGTGCTCTCTGTAGAGTTGTTAAAATGGTTTGCATTTCAGGTAGCAGAAATATGGAAAGTCAGTATACACAGGGAAATATTTCTTGGTGCAAACTAGTGGCAAATATGTAAGCAGCAATCCTTTCTGTTCTGTCAGCAAGAATGTAGAGCACAAACGTCACTTCTATTGAACAGTGTAGATACCTCTCCCCCTACCTCCCATGGTGCCTGAAAATCCAGCAGTGGGGCTGCCGTCTGGAAGGGGTCTACAGAGACCAGAAGTTTCACTCTAAGGATTTCCATCCATGGTTCATGTTGAAGCCTTGAGTGAGTGGCTCCACCTAGGCTACATTCAGAAGGGTCCGGAATAGCTGTGCAGTAGGAAGGAGCAAGGAGACATCACTTGTTATCCAGTTATTGTCCTGCACACGCACGACAGAGAAGCTCCCACAGCCCTCCTCATGCTCTAGGGAAACTGATGAGAAGAGCTGTGTGGCCACCCGGGCTAGTCCTCTATGGTTTATTGATTACATTGGTATTTTATGAGTCCTGAGTCATTCCTGTATGTAGGATTCCACACTGAAAAAGAAAATAATGTTGCTTACCTACAATTTTTAAGTTACTATTTTAGATTATACCTGTCGGAATTCCCAATGTGGGTATTTTGGGAGTATAGTTAAAAAAAAGCAATTTTTCTGAACTGATGGCAGGTGCATCAACCTGATGAACAAGAAGCCTCTTCTGAAATAAATGCTCTAACTATGATATAGGTAGATTTATATGAATCATAGGGAAAGCCAGACTAGATTCAGATGCAGGAGGAGTGAAAATGGGTGGAAGAAATATTATTAATTTAACATATGAAGAACACACCATCTTATTGGCAGAAATCAGGAAAAACTTGAAACCACTATTAGTGAACGTGAAAGAGGAAAAGGTCAAAGCAGGACTGCGGTTGAACATTAACAAAACAAAAATCATGGCTACAGAAGAACTACACAACTTTAATGTTGACAATGAAGAAATTGAAATTGTTAGATGTTTTGTATACCTTGATTCAATCTTCAATTGAAGTGGAAACTGCAGTCAAGAAATCAGAAGATTGAGACTCAGAAGGTCAGCAATAAAGGAACTAGAAAACATCATTATGTAAGGAGACCAAGATCATTCACACTTTTGCATTTCTTATCACCATATATGGATGTGAAAGCTGGACAGTAAAGAAAGCTGACAAAAAAATTGCTTCATTTCAAATGTGGTGCTGGAGGAGAGCTTTGCAGATACCCTGGACTGCCAGAAAGATTAACAGGTGTGCCCTAGATCAAATCAAGCCTGAACTATCTCTGGAGGTTAAAATGTTGAAACTGAGGGTGTCATGCTTTGGGCACATCATGAAAAAACAGGATTTTCTGGAACATATAATCTGAGAGAGGTTGAAGGCAGCAGGAAAAGAGAAATATTAAATATGAGGTGGAGTGGTATCTGAGAGAGGTTGAAGGCAGCAGGAAAAAAGAAATATTAAATATGAGGTGGAATGACTCCCTAAAGAAAGCCACAGATTTTGAGTCTGCAAGAGTTTGCAGGACTGTTGAGGACAGAACATTTTCGAGATCTCTCTTTTATACGGTTGCCATAAGTTGAAGGCAACTTGATGGCACATAACAACAGCAATGATATGTGTGGCTGTATATAGAGTGGTATAGATTGGATGGTGGTTGTGGGTTTTTGGGGCTCTTTGGCCGTGTTCTGAAGGTTGTTCTTCCTAACGTTTCACTAGTCTCTGTGACCAGCATCTTCAGAGGATAGCACTGGATGCTTCAACAACAGCAGTAGGGTTCCAGTAGAGTTGATCTGTTCACTGTTCTCAGTGCACAGTGTCAGCAAAATGACAACTTAATTTTTCTGTTTGATGTCAGAATAATAATGGATTTTATCTTCCCTGTTAATTTACTGCCAAGCTTATCTAGCTAGGCAAATTCATATTCTGAACCAGGCATGTAATTATGAATTTTGATTACATGATTTGTGCCAAGAAACTTACTGAATGTTCACCTTACAGGCCGGGCTCAGAGAACAGACGTCACAATGGCAGAGAGCGAATGTCGAGCTCCAACGAGAAAGGAAGCCTGGCCATGGAATCCAGCAAGGAGACGCGCTACTGCGCTGTGTGCAACGACTATGCTTCAGGCTACCATTACGGGGTTTGGTCCTGTGAGGGCTGTAAAGCCTTCTTCAAAAGAAGCATTCAAGGTAATAATAACATCACTGCCAGGCAATAAAGACCTGGCATGTAATCAAGTAATATGTGTTATGTTGAGAACAGCACTTGGGTACTAGTGTGTGTGTTTTTTTTTAAGTTGTGACTGCAGATTTGTGATCATAATTATATCCTTGATAATTCTAAACTACATTTCCAAAGTCATTTCAGGGTTAAGTTGCATTTGAAGGATAAAATAAAAACAACAAAAGTAGGTGGGGGGATTTGTTCACTTGTACTGTGTTGATCTATAAATGGTTTTTGCTTGTTTAATGGCCATATGCTGCAATCATCCTGTGGTTTCTAAGGGTTGCAGTTTTGCTTTTCTATCTGTTCCATTCCAAGTACTGTAGCACTGTAATTCTGTAATCCCAAGATGTGCAACACAATTAAGAATAATAACTGTGTGCAGTCAAGTCAATTCTGACTTATGGTGACCCTGTCCAGAGCTTTTAAGGTACAGATTACTCAGAAGGGGTTCTCTATTTTCTTCTTCCGGGAGACACTCGGGGGGCTGTGTCGTTTAATGCAGGCTACCCAAGCTGGCTATTCTTGTGGGAGGAACAGTGGAGAATTGAACTCCCAACGTTTGGCTCCACAGCCAGAAGCTTGCCTGCCTGAGTTATGCAGCCAACACATAGCACTATTGTACAAAGATAAAGACACCGCTCCCTAGAGTAGGGGTGGGGACATTTTACTCTCCAACTGTTGCCAAACCCCAACTCCGATGATACCTAGTCAGCTTAGGCCATGGCAAGAGATAATGGAGTTGCAGCCCAACAACATCCGGATCCCTTCTCCTGGAGAATAATTGAAACTGCAATGAAAGGTGTCATCCTCCTTTTCATGTGGCCTCCCTAAACAGTAGGCAGAACAAAGCTGAAAAGATTACATTTAGAAATAGAGCTATGTTTGATGTAGTGCAGTTGGACCAAATGCACACATTGTGTGTGCAGTCATTAACTGCCTTCTTCCAACTGCCTTCTTCCACCTTAGGGTCTGAGCACACTTTCGTGGGTGTTTTACATTTGGGAGGGAACTGCATGGTTCTGATGAAATTCAAGGAACTGAAATGGTTTTAGTAGAATGGCTCCAGTGATTGCTCAATTAACATGGGGAAGAGAGGGGGGAAAGCGGCACATGGTCATTGTGGTATGTGGACTCCTCTGGAGTTGATTCATTATCTTTACCAATAACGTGTATATGTGAAGAGGTAGCCCTCAAAGCACAGGAAGAGGACCTGTTCTGCTCACATGTCTCTTCTGCCATTATCAAGATTTGCCAGCACATATTTGGCATGCTGCAAGCTGAAGTGTAATTTAAACTCCTCTTCACATTGGGCGGCTCTTAACATCAAGGGTTTTCATTGAGCCAACACAAAAACTACTCATGATTTATTGTTCTGCCACAGCCCTTGAATTCTGGGAAGCATTGGCGTATTCAACCAACACAAAGCCCAATCAACCTTTTCGGAATCCCTTAACTCCGCTTCTAAGAGCAAGAGCCAAGGTATTCAAAATGGGCCGCAACAGTTTAAAGCACCGAGTATTTCTGATCTTGAGATATTTGAAATCCGGTTGCTTTTTATGATAGACTTTAAGTTGTTGTTGTTGTGTGTTTTACAAATATCAAGGCATGCTGCTGCAAGTTTTATATGTCTGTTACTCAATAAACCATTTGCCATGAAGCTGAAGGATCTCTTGTTGAACTAGCCCTAGGGACTTGCTATTTTATTTTTTGTTTTGTTTTAATCTTGCTGATAATGGCAGCAGTGTTTTCATAGCCAGCTTTTTAATGTTGCACATTGATATGTTGCCTGATGCTTGTTATCGCTCCTAATGCATGCCATAGTCTTTAACTGGTAGCCGCAGGCTCTTTTGAGAAGTGCCCCCACCTCCAGGTTTGCCTATAAGAAGGAAATGGAGCAGAGTTATGCCTTGGCTTGCTCCGTCTCCATTGCTATGTACTGTACCATGTTACCTTAAATCTCTATCTCGAGTCTGGGTGATTGTGAAGGGTAGCTTGCGTGCGCGCACGCGCGCGCACACACACACACACACAGAGGTGATGGTGCACTTTGGGGGGTACTCCAGAGCATTGGGATGCCTGATTCCACCAGCAGGTCCGAGTGCTGGCACACAATCAGCTGCTCATGTGCACATGTCTCTTGACATATATTTATATTCACTGCATAGAGCTAGAACCAATCTGGTTCAGCATACCCATATCTGAGGTTGTTGTTTTTTTTAAAAGAGACTAGTCTAATCCTGTGCCTTCTTGATGGACTCAGCTGCAATTCCTACAATTTCTAGCCATAAGACTGTTGGTATGTTACCTGAGAATGATGAAGGTTCTAGTCCAACACATTTGGAAGGAAGCAGCTTGGGAAAAACTCCTTGAGAACCTTCAATTTCTGATGGTTTGATGCTGCAAATGCTGAACTGACTAATCATGTTGTCTGCACAACATTATTCCACAGTGAGGCTCTTCATGCATATTGTACAGTGCACAAAATTAGCCATAGGGATTTCCTGTTGCAATAGATCTACAGTCAGAATAATACCTGTGCAGTACCTCAGGTATTCTTGGAGTTGTTTGCAGATACTGGAAGAATTTTTCATCACATTGGGGATCTCTTGGTCTGTTGGATAACAACTCTAATCACCTCCAGCAAACGTGTGATTGTTTTGGACATCAATAGTGACAAAAGCGAGATGGGCACTGTTTAACTTTGGGGAGTTACATGTCCCAATATCCCATAGCTAGCATGCTGGCTATGGGATTCTGGGAGTTGACTTCTCCCAGAAAAACATTTTCTAACTCCGGGCAAAAGGCAACAAGAATGCATTTCCTCCATTAGAGAGAGTTATATGCTCTCCAGTCACATCTTGATTTATGATAACTCTAACAGAGTTTTCAAGATATTTTAGGAGTGCTTTTACCTATTATACTCTAGGGAATTTTCATGGCAGAATAGGGATTTGAACCCAGCTCTCCTGAATTGAAAAACAGTAAAAGAAAAAAGAGAAGCGTCAGGAGTTATTTGAACCCAGCTCTCCTGAGTCCCACTTTGTCTCTCCACTATATCATGTTGACTCTCTCTGTTAAAAGGAAGGTTGATTGATTAGAAATTCCTTCCTCTGTCTGATGTATAATAGTCCTTAAAGAGTGCTGAAAGGCTATTCTGACTGTCATCAGCTGTGCCCTTTATGAAAAATCTTCCTCTCTTTCTTTCACTTTGCTGAGAAAGTGCTTTCACATGTTTTTTTAAAGGAGAAAGATGTAGGCTGCCCAACATATTGGAGTGCTTGTTGGGTGCAAGGCTGATCCCTGAGTGACTGGACTTTTCAGGACAGAGAGGGACACTCCGGTTCTTTCTAAAGAGCAATATCTGCATGTTTCTGGAACTCATTTAATTTGTAATGCTTAAAAAAGACAACTTGTTATTTATGTTACTTCAAGATGCTTGGGATGCTACAATTTACCTTTAAAAGATCTCATCGGAGATTATGTTCAACATTCTCATTGGTGTTTGTGTGACCCCTCCCTCTTCATTATGGGATGAAGCCACATTGATTCTTTTTAACTTCTAGGTTTGCAGGTATTATCCCAGCTGCCTGGGAGTAAACCTCTTTTAACATTGCAGAGTTATTTTGGAGTAGAGATTTATCGTTGAACTTGAGGCTCTACTAGATTGACACAGAATTCACACTCATCTTTCATCTTTATTGTACTCCTCCTCCTTTCCTTTGTTCTTATCGCTGTCTTCTGTCCAAGAAAATACTGTGGCGATGATTTTTCAATTATGGAAGCAGCTGCCAGTGATCATAAAGTCTGATGGAGAAATAAGAACAAGATTACTGTACTTGCTTTAGTTAAAATAGCCAGTCATGGTGGGTTTTCAGAGATCACATGAAGAGAGTATGTATTTTTAGCCATTTAACAGATGATTTGTACATTCCAAGAACAGGAAGGGAAATTCTCACTTTGGGGCATGGTACTCTTTTATCAGTTGATCATCTAGATCTGATCTAGATCAGAAGGCCAACCTGTTGATGGTACTCTTTTATCAGTTGATCATCTAGATGTAGATTCAGAAGGCCAACCTGTTACAATAAGGATGATCTTATAAAAATTATGAAATGTCACTTTCTTCTCTTTCTTTCCCATATCAGAAAACAACTAACAGTAATATTCAGGTGATTCTATGACAGAGCACAACACAAGAGAAGGGTTCTTACCACATAATGCACAACATAACAATGAAACAGAAATGTCCACCTCTGAACATGTTTTTCAGGTACTAGGGAATAAAAACCCTGTACGGTGCATCTAGAGATCTTCCAAGACTTAAGTCTTATTATGGGAATAATACCTGCAGGCTATCTACCCATATCAGTCTTCATAGAACACATTTGTAGTGCTTCCTCTAGGGGGGAACATGGAATTTTCCAAGCAAAAGCAGTGAGAGGCAAAATCCACAGCTGGAAGGGAAAGTGCAATACAAAGGAAAATAAGAAACTGAGCTTCACCTCTTTGAATATGCATATGAGCATGTGACTGCTACATGGTTGAAGTCACATTTACCTCTTTGAATATGCATATGAGCATGTGAATATGCATATGAGCATGTAGAGAATTGTTCACCATAATAGCTTTAGATGGAAAAACCCCCAATGAGCCTAACATTTACAAATGTTATCTAAAAGCTAGCACTACCTTTGATTATTCAGCTACAGAAATGGGCCTTTGGAGGATCTTTATAGTCTCATTTTTTACCCTGAGCAATGCCATATCGGGTCACCATATAGACTGCACCAGGCAGAACTTATGAATTTCAGGCTGTCTTTTTCACACTCAGACAATGTATAGTACATCACTGCCAGCAGCTCAGATCATGAGTACAGGGTCCAAAAATGTGACATTTAATAGCACTACGAGGCATAGGTCAATTCTAGCCCCACTCATCTCCTTAACAGTATCTTCTGTTTAC